GTCATATTTAAAGCACTCCCAAATTTACAAAATTAGATTACAAATTTTATTTAACAAAGAAAATACTACGTGTTCAGTCCTAGAGTCAGAGTCCATTTCCTAGAACGACTGTTGGTGGTTACTCTTACCATCTGACTTCGGTTTGCTTGTTTGTAGAGAGAGCCATTTTGTATTTTACTTTGACTCGGTTCTCAGTCCTCTGAGTACCTACAAGTCTGGTTTTTTTATGCGCGCATGATTTGGGCACTTAATACTCTGTGCCAAATTGCAACTCCTGACATGTACTCCTTCATACCTCTAAGCTGGTAACACAGCAGGCAGTACGATTTTATAGACAAGACATAGTCTTGTTGACAATTAATATTTTAATGTAATATTGTTATTGTACAACAACTTTTGTTAGACATTTAATAAAACAAATTTCAATTTTTTAAATTTATAAAACAAACCGTTCAAACTTTTCTAGAAAAAACTAAAATTTATTGTTGTGTATTAAATATTTTTTATTAATTATTAATAAAATTTTAAGATTTGTTCTAGTTTTTCACGTTATTTAGTTTTGTTTTATTTATTGTTTTATATTTTTTGTGTGCTCTATTTCTTGTGAGAGAGGGAGGGGGCCGGTAAGAAGAAAATGTCTATGGCCCCAAAGTGGATTAATCCGGCCCTGGCCTGGAGCAGTTTGCTCCAACTGCTCCACGCTAGCTATGCCTCTGCTCCGTCACGTTGCCACACTTTCTTGCTCTGTTCAGTTTTCAAATATGTCATCCATCGAACTTTTGTGGACCGGATGAGATGCCAGCTTCGGCTATCTACGCGTGTGAAGGATCTGGAGCGGCGGCTGCAATATCTGTGGGATTATCTATCACAAGATAGTATATTGTACCTGTATCCTGCATGTCCTACCATATCGCCACTTATATCCAGGAAGTGGAGATCGTAGAAGATATTAAAGGTTTCTTTTAAATTGTATCGTTGTTGCACAAGAAATTCTCTCTTTACCATATATTGTAATTACATATTTCTATCGTTATTACATTTGCACTAATAAAGTTTCGTTCGATTTAATCGCCTCTTTTCTGGTGAGTAAGTTTTTTGTCGATGAGTAAATTAATTGCTCATTAATTAATTAATGAGTAATTAATTTAATTCCTTTAAATTCCGGAACACTCATGAAAGCAGCATGGAACAAGTATCAAACTGCACGGATGATGGTTTGTTTTCTGTCTGACATATCGAGTTTACTGAATTGGCAACGTGTAAAGACGAATAAGATGGCGGCATTTACGGAATATGTTCGGTCTTCTCTAGACAACATCAAAACAGAAGAATGTATGCAAAGAAAGGTGAGAGTAAAATTCAAGTTGTCGTAAGAATATCTTCGATAAATGTGATTGACCTAGATATATTTACGGACATGTTAATGAGTGTTTATACAATTTTTTTAACGAAAAAGAATCAATATCGTGTGATAGTTTCTCGCAATATATATTAGTATACCTTGTACATGATATTACTGTAAATATAAATTGTAACAATTAATAAATCATAAAATGCGATTTTCGAGATATTCATTATTGTCGATGTGAAGTACACTGTCTACCTGTGTTGTATTAGAACCTATTTTACAACTCAAATGATTTGATTAGATTGTAAACAAAGAGACTCGTTAAACTCTAATCAAATCAAAACTCGTTCGCATTTATCATCTAATCGTTGATAAATGCGAATGAAAAATGAATTTATTTGTATCTCTGCTGCACAGTCTCTCATCTCTATTCAGGACTGTCGATAGCATGTGTGCAGCTCGGATTAGACCTGGGGCCGTATTCTGGTCACCGTCTCTGGTCTCTTGTCTCTCACAAGTCTGGTCGCTGGCTAATCATTTGGATTAACCAATCAGCGACCAGATTGTGAGAGACGAGAGACCAGAGACGGTGACCAGAATATGGCCCCTGGCTTCTTTTATTTTGTAGCAGGGNAATAATGTTTGTTAAGTTGAAACAAATAAAGTTTTTTTAAAGGAAACAAAATACATACATATATCTAAGTAATATATATAGCAAATTAATTAGATGTTTTATAATATATTTTAGACCAAAAAATAATAGTAACATTTAAGTTTTTTAAACCTTGATCATACTGTAAATTAAAGATTTGTAAATTAAACAATTTATGGTAGAAAAAAAATCAAATGTTGCATGATTTTTAAGCGAGATATTGCGGTTTAAAAAAACCCAAAATTAGCATAACACAAAATAATCTGGCAGATATACAGATCTTGTAATCAATCTGGTAGGCTAAAAGGGGCCCCATTTAGAGCTTTGTTCCCATTTTTCTTGATAAGAAGAAATTCGTTTAACATTTCCTGTCAATAATTTACTTGGAATTCTTTGGAAAAAAACATGTAAACAATTGGAAAATGGGTTAATTTATTTAAAATTCAATTTTAGTAAACAGATATCTGAAATAATTATATCTTGTCTCATAAGTGATGGAATACTCACTTGTCAGTCATTTTAGATGTAAATATACATGTAAGCAAATGATCAATATAATAAATACTAAACTTGTTTAAACTATTCTAAAATTTAAACAATATGACTGTCATGTTTTTCATATTTTTTTGAAAATATGATGTATAACTTTGTATTTATAAAATTCTTACATAGCTTTTTTTATGTTAAAAGAAAAACATACGTCAAACAAAAAATAATGGTAAAAATGCAGTTCATAAGACCATGCATAAATCTACGAACTGTACATATATATATAGAAATGTAATTAATTGGTGTGCAATAAAGATAAGTTACTTAGGTAAGGATTTCAGACTGCTTCATTTCCATCAGTTGATCATGTTGTGATGACAGAGTTCCTTTGAATGGGAATGTTATCTGTTATGATAGCATTTGCAACAGTGTATCCAAAACTGTGTCAATATCTCAAGGAAAGAAAACTATGTGCTCATTCAGTCATGAAAATTTCTAATAAAAAAGAAATTGTATTCTTAGCTCCTTTAGCTAAGCAAGATGAATTTTATATTTCTGAAGCTTTTGAAATAAAGAAGAAACGCCATTTAATAAAGTTCAATCAGACTCAGTTATGTCAAAAATAACAGAAATAGGAGAAAAAATTTCAGATAAAAGAGAGACTGTATCTTCCTTACTTATATTTTTATAGAATTTACTAGTGATTTCTCTCAATACTGTGTAAAATTCTTGGCATTTAAATATGAATATTATGTGATATTTAAAATGGTATCAAGCTATAAGAAAGACCTCCAATGTTATTTTCTCACTGTTACATTTATACAAAAAGATCTTGAATCATTTCAAGAGAATGATACACATGATCAGAATTAATTTTGTAAAGATAGATGATAGTAACTAATCATGTTTTTTAATGTAGTAAATTTATTTAAAGTCATATTCAAATGATATATTCTTCCTTTATATGATGGAAATACCAATTTATCAGTGTTATAAAGAAAATCTATATTGCTAAGTCATTATCAAAAGTATTATATAAGATTATTATTCTAATATTGGCCATCACTTCAAAAAGTGCACTCTCATATAATGTACAGTACATATATAGATGTAAATTCTTTGTGTAATTAAGAATAATCTTTGTTTTGTGATATTTTCTTACATTTATAATTTTGTAATTTCCTTAATGTCAGCCATTAAATTTTTTATTGCAGAGATCCTCAAATTTAGAAATATTTCAGTAAAAAATGCAAATTGAGACTCTGCAGCCAGAGTGCCTTATTCAAGAATATATTTGCCATTTCAGTAACTATCTATATTTTTGATTAGCTGTTGTTTGTCCACCATTAATAATTATATAATTTTAATTAAAAATAAATATTTTGTAGTTGATTTTAGTTCAATCAGTATTTGAATTTTTAATATTCAATATTTTATCCTTCCTGTGTAAATTTCAGTATTTGTTTGCACAATGAAGATTGTGTAATGTTATGAATAATTTAAATAAGTAATTGTTGTAAATCTAATAGCATAATTAATCTGTTTAATGTCATAGGCTCTAAATTCAGCAATGGAATTGTAATGTGCATTACTGATATCATTCAGTAAAAATACTTGTGAATGTTGTAATGTATAATCAGTGATGTATGATGAGTTAACATTAAACTATGTATAAATTATAAATATTACTCTACTGCTTGGTTGCTCGGATATTTAACTAATGTAAAATTATGTATATAAAGTTTGAAATTTGTCACAAAAGATGTCATAGTAAAAAATAAGAAACTTATTACATGGAGAGATTATGAATAGAAGTTGTATGATATTCCTGAAATTCATAAAACATTTGTAAAAATGAATTTCATTGTTTTAAAGCAATGTAATAGCAATAGAAATATTTGTACAAAAGATGTTCCCTGTATTTTCTTGATTATTTGCATTTGCTTTCATAAGGATTCTGTGATATGAAAAGTATTCATATTAAACTTAATTATTATTATTATTATTATTTGTTAATAAAAAGTATTTGTTTTTGTACAAATTATTTGCTGTTCATCACTGTCCATAATGTTCCAAACTTTTATTCAATTTTGTCGATTTATTTACAAAATAGGAAAGAAAATAATAATGTTTGTTAAGTTGAAACAAATAAAGTTTTTTTAAAGGAAACAAAATACATACATATATCTAAGTAATATATATAGCAAATTAATTAGATGTTTTATAATATATTTTAGACCAAAAAATAATAGTAACATTTAAGTTTTTTAAACCTTGATCATACTGTAAATTAAAGATTTGTAAATTAAACAATTTATGGTAGAAAAAAAATCAAATGTTGCATGATTTTTAAGCGAGATATTGCGGTTTAAAAAAACCCAAAATTAGCATAACACAAAATAATCTGGCAGATATACAGATCTTGTAATCAATCTGGTAGGCTAAAAGGGGCCCCATTTAGAGCTTTGTTCCCATTTTTCTTGATAAGAAGAAATTCGTTTAACATTTCCTGTCAATAATTTACTTGGAATTCTTTGGAAAAAAACATGTAAACAATTGGAAAATGGGTTAATTTATTTAAAATTCAATTTTAGTAAACAGATATCTGAAATAATTATATCTTGTCTCATAAGTGATGGAATACTCACTTGTCAGTCATTTTAGATGTAAATATACATGTAAGCAAATGATCAATATAATAAATACTAAACTTGTTTAAACTATTCTAAAATTTAAACAATATGACTGTCATGTTTTTCATATTTTTTTGAAAATATGATGTATAACTTTGTATTTATAAAATTCTTACATAGCTTTTTTTATGTTAAAAGAAAAACATACGTCAAACAAAAAATAATGGTAAAAATGCAGTTCATAAGACCATGCATAAATCTACGAACTGTACATATATATATAGAAATGTAATTAATTGGTGTGCATACATCTATAATGCAAATACAATAGAGACAATTTAGATTGATTACATTTAAATTAATATTTATTTTTTAAACGATAAGTTTCTAACATAATATGCATACATACAGTCTAACAAAAGTATAAATACCTTTTTTTTTAAATTAATTTTTAATTTATTACTTAGTAAAAGTTTTATAAGATAATTTCATGTATTAATTAAATTATTTATACAAAGTTTTATCATCAGTAAAATAATTACATCATTACACAATTTTTTAGATTTTGACTGCTTATTATAAACACAGTATATAAAATATTAAAAACAATATATTTTAATTTATTAAAATCAAAAAAACTTAATTACTTTAAAAATTTGCAACACCAACTGGTTTCTACAGAAAATACAGAATTCTGGACAACAATATAGGAACTAAGAAAGAAAAAAAATTAGACCATCAAATAAACATAGAAATATCAGCTTGGAATCAATATTTTAATAGATTTTCAAATATTGACAATCCATCAAATCTAAAAATTTCCACTTTGAATACCAGTTTGCTCGATTTGCCATTTACCTACAATGAACTTGAGGATTCAATTCGAAAAATGAAATTAAAATCAGCTCCTGGTATTAATTTGATAACTCCCAAATTTGTCAAATTTGGGAGTTATCAAATTTTTACCTCCTTTGGGCAAACAAGTTCTACTTGATTCATTCAATTACTTTTATAACACATTAAAATATCCAGAAATTTGGAATATTGCTAAATTAGTATGATTTATAAAAAAGACTTCATATGGAACCCGAGAACTACCGTCCGATTGCTCTTCTACCGGTATTAAGGAAATGCTTTACATCTATTTTAGTAAACCGTTTNTATAAAAATTTTATCATTTTTTATTTATTTTATATAAATTTTGAATTTTTCAGATAATTCTCTTGCAAACTCTTCATGATAGATTGAAAGGAAATAGTTTACAGGAATATAATATATTTATTGAAGAAAAGAAATTGTATTATGACTTGATGATATTTTTAACTGATTCTGGACTTGTGAAGAAAAGTTTTGAGAATGAATTGGGTAGAGGTATGTAATATACTATTATTTTATATCATGAATGTTTTGAAAATGTTACTTGAAACATTGTAAAAACTTAATTTTATAATATATTCAATAAAAATAAATTATTAAATTTATTGAATGAACTGATGTGTTCGATCACTTTCAGTGACCATCATCAAATTACGGCTTAATTAAACACTTAAATTTAAAATAAATTATTTATAGCAAAAACAAAAAAGCTGGCAGTGTTGCTAGACTTTCCTGGCATTCTTTATTTGTTTTCATCCCTAATAATTGTTACCATTACTTTTTAAGTTTTTAGATTAATTGATTCAGAAGATATTAAAAGAGTGGAAGCCATATTTTCTGAACCAATGATCCAATTATCCTGAGAATTTCTAGAAACATTTTTCCCAACACACAAACCTCCCTGCATAATTTTAGAAAGTTTTGACTAAAGACACAGTGATTATTAAGGTTCAGAGTGAATGAAAAATTTTGCCCATCGCACGCATACACACGCACACGCACGCACACACACACCCACACTAAATACAGTAGAACCTCGATTACCCGGACTAATTGAGGATGAAGGTAGTCTGGATAAGGAAAAATCCGGATAATCGAAACAGATACTTTGTCTTTTAATGATAATACAACACGTTTTCTTCTCGATGACATATCGGTAATATTAAAAGTAAATACTGTATTTAAATTGTGATAAAATTTTCAAGAAACAAACGTTCGTATTGAACTTGGACTACTACTGACCAACGCTAGCAAACTACCTATCAGCGTTGCCAGATGTTTTTTGCCCTTGTAGCCAAATAATTTTTAAAAAGTAGCCCAAAAGTAGCCAACTGCTCGAGCAGTTGGCTACTTTTGTACCAGGTGTTGTTCTACCTAGTACTTTTGTACTAATCTAGTACCTTTTTACTTGTCCCAGTACCAAGATACCCAACACCATTTTCCTAGTACCAAATCCTAATACCTTTCCTTTCAAAATATTCATTTTTATTCTATATTTCTGTATTTTTTTACTTAACTTTGACAGTAAATAGATGTTTTTATTGCTTCCTCATTCAAATGCAGCAGTTGAACGTATTTTTTTTGCAATTAAATTTAATGAAAACTAAACTACAAAATCGAGTTCTTACAGCAATAAATGTTAAACTTGGAAATCATCATCTGCTTCAACCATACAAAAACATTCTAGTGAAAAAGATTCTGATGATGATGATCTTACCAGTGATTTTTCAANTTTGGAATACTGCTAAATTAGTATGATTTATAAAAAAGGACTTCATATAGAACCTGAGAACTGCCGTCCGATTGCTCTTCTACCGGTATTAAGGAAATGCTTTACATCTATTTTAGTAAACCGTTTTCAACGATGGACTCATGAAATTAATCTTAACTATGGATTTCAATACGCTTTTATTAAATCCAGGGGTACAGAATTTGCTATCTTCTTCTTATCTTCAATTATTCAAATATATTTGCAGACAAAATGTAGAAAAATATACGCTGCCTTTATCAATATCACCAAAGCTTTTGATTATGTTCATGTTCCGACATTGGTTAATAAATTAAAACAATATGGTGCATGCAATAGATTTTCAGATTCGATTATGCACCTTTTTTCTATTTATAATTCTTCATATTGTAAATGGCAACTTAATTAATCCAGAAATTATTAGAAATCGAGGAATACTTCAGGGTGAACCTCTTTCTACGTATCTTTTTAATTTCTACATAAATGACATAAATAATTTATTTGATAAGGATAACAAAGAAATATATATTAATGGACATTGTTTCCACTATATTTTATATGAAGATGATTTAGTATTATTAGCATCAACTTGTATAACATTACAGCATAAAATCTTGATATTAAAGCTTGATATTAAACTAACTAATCAAGAGAAAGACCTATTTAGATGGCAGACCTCTTGAAACGATTAACAATATAAAATACCTGGGTATTACTTTTAGTTGGAATGGATTATTTTAATGGCATTTAAAAATCCTTACTGCAAAAATTAATTCATTTATTGATAATACTATATAGTTATGTTCAGCATTAATGATTTCTGATTTAAAACTTCGAATTAAAATTTTCAATGCTATAATTCTTCCTTCAATATTTTACGCCAGCCCGATCTGACTCTTGATCATTTTTACAAACTCGAAAAATTTCATATTACTTATGTAAATTATTCTAGCTTGAGAGGACTGTACCAGGTTATTCTATTAGAGCAGAAATAAACAGAATTCAACTATTTCCGTGGTTTTTAAAGAGATTAATAAGATTTTACTATCGACTTATAAATACAGACGATGAGAATATAAAATTTTTACACCAAAATATGTATCAAATAAATGTCTTAAATTCTACTACACATACTTGCAATATGAATTTAATAATATATATGGAATTTCAAATGCGTTATTCGATAAATCTGATACAAATTGGAAAAAAAAGATATACACTAATAATGAAATCGACCATATCACAATCAATAACTCAAGATCAAAACTCAATATTGAAATCGACTTACCCCTGGTACCCAGAGATTTTAAAAATACCTTTCAATTCCTGTTTTATTATAGCCAATATAAATATGAACATCAAACAATTATTCTTACAACTCCATCTTAGTAAGTATTCTTTATTTGTTAATAATACTTACATAGATTTTACCAATCAAATTTGTTATTGGTGTAAATCAAATAACTTTTCTGTATTTCATCTATTGAAAGAGTGATTAGCTATAAAAAATATCACCATAAATATCAAATAACAGAAATCCTCGGTATGAACTACGATTCAAAATACACCTCAAGAATTACAGATTTATCAAAAACTAATAAGTACGAACTAAGTGACTTTTTTACTCGGATTACTGATATGTTTAATAGTGATGACATTATTAACTAATATCCAGCTAACAGCTATAACTTTATTTATATACTCATTGTAGAGTTATTTTACTATTTTTATTCTTAAGATTTAATTGTTATAATTGGTAATAACACATACATTGTAACTCAAACTATTATAAATTCATCATGTTTGTTAAAAAAATTAGTAATATCCCCTGTAACAAGGGTTTTTTGTCCTCAGTACAATAAAGTATTTAATTATAAACACAGTATTAATAAATAACAATTAAAAATTGTACAGTGGGTGATCGGTTAACGAACAGTTCGGATAGAGAACAAATCGGATAAAGAACACTTTTGCGAAAGATTTTTATGATCGGACAACGAACACATGTTCGGATAACGAACACTTTACTGAATAAACATAAAAAGAAGCGACCGAAAATAACGAATACCAATTCGAAACCTTCCGGAGCGTGGGAGACGTAAGATCGACTCTCAACTCGATACCGATCGGATAGTATTCCTCCAAATTTTGAAACTCACTCTTGTAATTCCGGCTTTTTGTTTACCTTTCTGACAAATAATTTTTGTAGTCTTCGCGAGACTGTCGGACAGGTACTTGTTAAATTTTGCTTCGGGGTTTATTTACGAAAGGTGAAAGGATATTCGTTAACGTTTTAATACCAAATTTCGAATTTCATTTGGGCCTTGTATTTAAATAATTTTTTGTGGCCTAGTTGATTTCTGTTCTCTGAATTTTTGTAAGTGCTTTTCTGAACTTTTTATTTAAAAAAGAAACTGATAATATTTTGGAGCCTAAAAAGAGGAGTGTCAAGAACTGTGCTCACTGTAGAAACCAAGTAAGAGATAATAGCCAAGGTAGAAAGTGAGCACAAGGTGTCTGATATTGCTAGGCAGTATGGCTTGAACAGGTCTATAGTAGGCTCAATCTTAGCTATGAAAGATATATCAAGAAGTCTCAAGCTGTTAATGGAGTAATGAAAATTACGTCTGAGAAATAAAGAGCATTTTAGAGCTCATAATGGAACCTGAAATTGATCTGACGACAGAAAAACTCCAAGAACTCTCAAATGAAGAATACCGAGAAACTCAGCGAAATGTGTTATCTTTTGGAAAAGAGGAAGACGAAAGAGGACCAATGTCGACATCTGCTACTAAAGATCTTTTGAAGGAGTGGGAGGATGTTATATCATCCAAGTGGCAACCAAAGCAGAATAAGGTTCATTGGGTTGGGGATCTCTACAATTACAATACTATTAATTACTTCCGAAAAATCCTGAAGAAAAGAGAAAAGCAATCGACATTGGACAGATTGTTTAACCCCCACAAACGGATAAAACATGACTAATAAAAATGCAAGACAGCATATGTATGTATTTTTACTATTACATGTAAATAAATGTAGTAAAAAAAGTATATATTTTTTTTATTTTTTGGAGTCTTCGGAACGAATTAATCAAATTCCCATACAAACCTATGGTAAATCGATAATCGGTTAACGAACAATTCGGATAACGAACAAAGTCTTGGAACGGATTATGTTCGTTAACCGATCACCCACTGTATTTAATATTTTGAAACACCCACCTTTTGATGAAAAATGTTGTAATGGTTTGTTAACAAATATTCAAAATCCATATTTGCCATCTCAGAAAATAATTTCATTATTTGATTCAGTACATTTATTAAAATGTATTAGAAACAGCTGGTTAAACAAGCATGACAGCAGGAAAACATTTGTTTTCTCTAGATTAAAAATTCTGTTTTATTTTAATGATAATAATTCACTTCCTGACATATGTTTTGCTAATTTGCAGTGCTTAAAAACAATACATTTTCAAGAAGAAAATAGTACTGTTAAATTAGCTCCAAAATTGTCTGGGAAGGTGGTTTATCCATCAAAGTTAGAAAGACAGAATGTAGCATTAGCTTGCAGTATACTTGATAAAAATACAGCTGCATTGAGCATCAAGAAACAAATACAAAACAGTATGGAAATTACTTTCTTTCTTGATATAAACTTCAAATGGTGGAAAATAGTCAATATTAAACAACAACAAAAAAGGAAAAAGTTTGAAAAACAAATTTTCTGAGCCAATAACATATCTCACATTTTAAAATTATATTTTTAATGTCATATGAAGCATTCCCAAATTTACAAAATTAGAATACGAATTTTATTTAACAAAGAAAATACTACGTGTTCGGTCCTAGAGTCAGAGTCCATTTCCTAGAACGACTGTTGGTGGTTACTCTTACCATCTGACTTCGGTTTGCTTGTTTGTAGAGAGAGCCATTTTGTATTTTACTTTGACTCGGTTCTCAGTCCTCTGAGTACCTACAAGTCTGGTTTTTTTATGCGCGCATGATTTGGGCACTTAATACTCTGTGCCAAATTGCAACTCCTGACATGTACTCCTTCATACCTCTAAGCTGGTAACACAGCAGGCAGTACGATTTTATAGACAAGACATAGTCTTGTTGACAATTAATATTTTAATGTAATATTGTTATTGTACAACAACTTTTGTTAGACATTTAATAAAACAAATTTCAATTTTTTAAATTTATAAAACAAACCGTTCAAACTTTTCTAGAAAAAACTAAAATTTATTGTTGTGTATTAAATATTTTTTATTAATTATTAATAAAATTTTAAGATTTGTTTTAGTTTTTCACATTATTTAGTTTTGTTTTATTTATTGTTTTATATTTTTTGTGTGCTCTATTTCTTGTGAGAGAGGGAGGGGGCCCGGTAAGAAGAAAATGTCTATGGCCCCAAAGTGGATTAATCCGGCCCTGGCCTGGAGCAGTTTGCTCCAACTGCTCCACGTTAGCTATGCCTCTGCTCCGTCACGTTGCCACACTTTCTTGCTCTGTTCAGTTTTCAAATATGTCATCCATCGAACTTTTGTGGACCGGATGAGATGCCAGCTTCGGCTATCTACGCGTGTGAAGGATCTGGAGCGGCGGCTGCAATATCTGTGGGATTATCTATCACAAGATAGTATATTGTACCTGTATCCTGCATGTCCTACCATATCGCCACTTATATCCAGGAAGTGGAGATCGTAGAAGATATTAAAGGTTTCTTTTAAATTGTATCGTTGTTGCACAAGAAATTCTCTCTTTACCATATATTGTAATTACATATTTCTATCGTCATTACATTTGCACTAATAAAGTTTCGTTCGATTTAATCGCCTCTTTTCTGGTGAGTAAGTTTTTTGTCGATGAGTAAATTAATTGCTCATTAATTAATTAATGAGTAATTAATTTAATTCCTTTAAATTCCGGAACACTCATGAAAGCAGCATGGAACAAGTATCAAACTGCACGGATGATGGTTTGTTTTCTGTCTGACATATCGAGTTTACTGAATTGGCAACGTGTAAAGACGAATAAGATGGCGGCATTTACGGAATATGTTCGGTCTTCTCTAGACAACATCAAAACAGAAGAATGTATGCAAAGAAAGGTGAGAGTAAAATTCAAGTTGTCGTAAGAATATCTTCGATAAATGTGATTGACCTAGATATATTTACGGACATGTTAATGAGTGTTTATACAATTTTTTTAACGAAAAAGAATCAATATCGTGTGATAGTTTCTCGCAATATATATTAGTATACCTTGTACATGATATTACTGTAAATATAAATTGTAACAATTAATAAATCATAAAATGCGATTTTCGAGATATTCATTATTGTCGATGTGAAGTACACTGTCTACCTGTGTTGTATTAGAACCTATTTTACAACTCAAATGATTTGATTAGATTGTAAACAAAGAGACTCGTTAAACTCTAATCAAATCAAAACTCGTTCGCATTTATCATCTAATCGTTGATAAATGCGAATGAAAAATGAATTTATTTGTATCTCTGCTGCACAGTCTCTCATCTCTATTCAGGACTGTTGATAGCATGTGTGCAGCTCGGATTAGACCTGGGGCCGTATTCTGGTCACCGTCTCTGGTCTCTTGTCTCTCACAAGTCTGGTCGCTGGCTAATCATTTGGATTAACCAATCAGCGACCAGATTGTGAGAGACGAGAGACCAGAGACGGTGACCAGAATATGGCCCCAGGCTTCTTTTATTTTGTAGCAGGGCTCCTTTTTTTGATATAATGAAATACGTAGAATGTTTTCTTAATAAATAGTTGTTTTATATTGTTTTTATTTTCTGTTAATTAAATAACATTTGTTTATGATGATGCGAAGTGATATGCATCCCTAAGTTTTCTCCACACTTGGGTAAAATCCTCAGCTCACCATTACTTGGTGGCTCTGTCTCTATTGCATTCTCACTGGTTCAACGATCTTATTACAAATATAATTAATTATTGGTAGTCTGGTCTGACAGTAAAGACTGATGAAGAAGTTGACTCTGCTTTTTGATTTAGCATCTTTCAATGAGATAATCAAATGCTTAAGAATATATGTGGAGAAAGCCAAATTTATGTAAATATAAAATGATCTTGGGTGAAATGTCAAGAAATTGAAATTTCTGTAAATCTCTGAATGATAAGAAGGTCGAAATTTTTCTTGAATTTTATATTTATAAATGTTATATTTGTTACCAAATCTGAAAATTTATAGAATGTTTATCTTTTATATTGAAGAAATTAATTTTTTTTCAAATTGCATACTATTTAAATATCAATGTTTGTGCTGTTTCACTCCAAAATTATAAACAATTTGTAATTTACTTTACTGAAATGTTTGCAACAATGTAAAAATCAGTTGTTTCTATCATTTCTAAGAAATTACAAAGTGTAATTTTGGAATCAATGCAATTTGACAGTCTTGCACAAAGAAAATTAAATTTAACACGTTTTGGTTAGATTGCAATGGTTTCCAACTTGATTTAATCGTGGAACCCTTTTGATCTTGATAAAATATTTACAAAGAATCTATTACATAATTTGATTTTTTGATTGGTAAATACAATGGATTTTAATTTCCACAAATGCAAGTTATGCAGTCTGTGATGGTTCTCACTTCTTGACAGGATGTCTGTTCTATGAGTATTAATGAATATTAATAATTTTTGTAATTTTATTTAAATGAACTTTTGCATACATATTTTAAACTAATGACAACTCAAATACTAATTCTATTGCAAAACTTCAAACCTTATCAGTGGAACTCTGGAGTTCCATTGAGTAAATTAGGAGCCAGTGTTTGATTAATATAATTTACTGAAATTGTGATTTAAAATTTGTTATTAATTTAAAAGATGATTAAAAATTTTAACTTTTCAAATATTTTTAAACTAACTTGATAAAATCAAATTGCAGGAGTTAAGATTATATAAAAAGTAATGATTTTGTAAATGAATTTTGAAAATAAGAACAAAGTATAAAAATTGATTTTGTTAAAGTTATGTTTTGAAAAAAATCCTAATCATATACACACAAAATAAATATATACAGTATTTATTATAAATTTTAAATTTAACTGGAGAATGACAGTATTCAAATAATACAAGTGAAAGAAATTCATGTAATTAATTAAAGTTTAAATGGCTAATGGATTCAGTTTGATTTCTATATGTGACTTCTTATTTTCAAATTAAAACAATAAAAAATTGTTTTAATTTTATAAACCAGAAAGTCTATAAATATGTATAAAAATTTTATCATTTTTTATTTATTTTATATAAATTTTGAATTTTTCAGATAATTCTCTTGCAAACTCTTCATGATAGATTGAAAGGAAATAGTTTACAGGAATATAATATATTTATTGAAGAAAAGAAATTGTATTATGACTTGATGATATTTTTAACTGATTCTGGACTTGTGAAGAAAAGTTTTGAGAATGAATTGGGTAGAGGTATGTAATATACTATTATTTTATATCATGAATGTTTTGAAAATGTTACTTGAAACATTGTAAAAACTTAATTTTATAATATATTCAATAAAAATAAATTATTAAATTTATTGAATGAACTGATGTGTTCGATCACTTTCAGTGACCATCATCAAATTACGGCTTAATTAAACACTTAAATTTAAAATAAATTATTTATAGCAAAAACAAAAAAGCTGGCAGTGTTGCTAGACTTTCCTGGCATTCTTTATTTGTTTTCATCCCTAATAATTGTTACCATTACTTTTTAAGTTTTTAGATTAATTGATTCAGAAGATATTAAAAGAGTGGAAGCCATATTTTCTGAACCAATGATCCAATTATCCTGAGAATTTCTAGAAACATTTTTCCCAACACACAAACCTCCCTGCATAATTTTAGAAAGTTTTGACTAAAGACACAGTGATTATTAAGGTTCAGAGTGAATGAAAAATTTTGCCCATCGCACGCATACACACGCACACGCACGCACACACACACCCACACTAAATACAGTAGAACCTCGATTACCCGGACTAATTGAGGATGAAGGTAGTCTGGATAAGGAAAAATCCGGATAATCGAAACAGATACTTTGTCTTTTAATGATAATACAACACGTTTTCTTCTCGATGACATATCGGTAATATTAAAAGTAAATACTGTATTTAAATTGTGATAAAATTTTCAAGAAACAAACGTTCGTATTGAATTTGGACTACTACTGACCAACGCTAACAGACTACCTATTGTTTAAAAGGCCCTCTGGTGGCGCAAGAAGACGGATTTTATAAAATAAAAAGCAGTTGAAACTGCATTTTTATGAATAAAAATTTGACAAACTATTTATCGTTTTATGACGAGTAAAATTTTTTCGTCGCGTTCGCGGCTTTTAAGTAATGCATAAACCTTCGAGGCGCGAGGCCCTTCGGACCGCGAGGCATAGGCGGTGGCCCACGTCGTCCATGCCTTACGCCGCCCTTGGTCATAGAAATGATGTAATTTGAATATAAATTATTTATAAATACGTATGTCAAGTTATATTTTTATTACTACGTAAAGTATATTTAAGAGTTTACGACCACTGTGATGGGTGAGACGTTGTTGAAAAAAAAAAGTTATGCATTCCATCACGTACATAAAGAGTGTCGTAATTCGCCAAGTGCAAATCAGCAAATTCGTAAAATTTTTGTTTATTTTGAACAATCCGGATAATCGAAAATCCGGATAATGGCGGTCCAGATAATGGAGGTTCTACTGTAACATCAAATGTGTTCATTTCTCAATGTTTCAAGGTCTTTGAGTTCAGAAATTAAAATTCTGGGGTCATTTTTTTACTGATTGTCATACTTTTGCTGTGTTATATAACAACTGGGGAAGAAAAAATTAAATAGAAATAAATGAATAATAAATTCTATTTTCTATTAACCTTTCTGCTTTTATTAGTGTAGTTCATTTTCTAAGTTTGACATGTTTCATCAAAACCATTTTAATACAATAAAATCCATACTTATGTTATTAGGATGAGATATAAAATTATTTTAAAAAATTTACAAGACTATTTTGCTTCTTTAGATTATTATTTCATTTCTTTTTAACTGTAACATTGCTTCAAATTTGTTTTTGAAGTAACATTCTAAGCTTTGAAAACATACATAAACAATTTACATTTAACTCTATAATGTAAATTTGAGGATTTTATTACATTAGTTTAATTGCATATGTATGTTTTATTTATTCTTACAATTTGTTATAAAAATATTTTTGTATTAATTAATAGTAATTAATTGTGTTTTTTGACAGATTATACAGAAACTGATTTTATTGGTCTTCCTGAAATCGCTGAATATTCTTTGTCTTGTATTCACATTTTATTACCCTTTCTTCAGTATTTTGAATCTGAATATGAAATTTATAAGTCAATTATTAAATCAATTTTAATTTTATGTGCAACTCATTGTGATCATTATCCTTGGTCTTCTAAAATCTGTGTTAATAAAACTAAAGGTAAGTTTAGTACTTTTAATTTAAAAATTGATTCTAGAATAAAATTATTAAAAATACAAGAATCATGCAGTAGAACAGTGAATATTTAATGATAAATATAAATGTAAAAAATTAACAAAAAAATTATTTTTATATCTATCATTTATACAAATATTCCAAAGTAGTGTTTTATTATTATATGCTTTTATGTTTAGATTTTATTTATTGAATATAAAATATTTATCTGTTTTGAATTATTTTGTACTTTAATTAGTTTTTATACTTACATTTAAGATTTATTTGTGAAAAAATGATAAATGATAATGTACCAAAAAAAACAACAAAATATAAATTTTTTTAATATAATAAATATTAATTTGTTAATGTAGTAAGTATACACATATATGTTACATTTATTTTTCAGATATTTTATCTTCTCTTTTAAATGTAACACGTTTTAAAACTATAGAATTGCTATTACAAGGAAGAAAATCAAGTGAAAATCTTATTAATTCAATACTTCTAGCAATCAAGCCACATTTGATGAAAAATAATTGNAGAGCTATTTTGTATTTTACTTTGACTCGGTTCTCAGTCCTCTGAGTACCTACAAGTCTGGTTTTTTTATGCGCGCATGATTTGGGCACTTAATACTCTGTGCCAAATTGCAACTCCTGACATGTACTCCTTCATACCTCTAAGCTGGTAACACAGCAGGCAGTACGATTTTATAGACAAGACATAGTCTTGTTGACAATTAATATTTTAATGTAATATTGTTATTGTACAACAACTTTTGTTAGACATTTAATAAAACAAATTTCAATTTTTTAAATTTATAAAACAAACCGTTCAAACTTTTCTAGAAAAAACTAAAATTTATTGTTGTGTATTAAATATTTTTTATTAATTATTAATAAAATTTTAAGATTTGTTCTAGTTTTTCACGTTATTTAGTTTTGTTTTATTTATTGTTTTATATTTTTTGTGTGCTCTATTTCTTGTGAGAGAGGGAGGGGGCCGGTAAGAAGAAAATGTCTATGGCCCCAAAGTGGATTAATCCGGCCCTGGCCTGGAGCAGTTTGCTCCAACTGCTCCACGCTAGCTATGCCTCTGCTCCGTCACGTTGCCACACTTTCTTGCTCTGTTCAGTTTTCAAATATGTCATCCATCGAACTTTTGTGGACCGGATGAGATGCCAGCTTCGGCTATCTACGCGTGTGAAGGATCTGGAGCGGCGGCTGCAATATCTGTGGGATTATCTATCACAAGATAGTATATTGTACCTGTATCCTGCATGTCCTACCATATCGCCACTTATATCCAGGAAGTGGAGATCGTAGAAGATATTAAAGGTTTCTTTTAAATTGTATCGTTGTTGCACAAGAAATTCTCTCTTTACCATATATTGTAATTACATATTTCTATCGTCATTACATTTGCACTAATAAAGTTTCGTTCGATTTAATCGCCTCTTTTCTGGTGAGTAAGTTTTTTGTCGATGAGTAAATTAATTGCTCATTAATTAATTAATGAGTAATTAATTTAATTCCTTTAAATTCCGGAACACTCATGAAAGCAGCATGGAACAAGTATCAAACTGCACGGATGATGGTTTGTTTTCTGTCTGACATATCGAGTTTACTGAATTGGCAACGTGTAAAGACGAATAAGATGGCGGCATTTACGGAATATGTTCGGTCTTCTCTAGACAACATCAAAACAGAAGAATGTATGCAAAGAAAGGTGAGAGTAAAATTCAAGTTGTCATAAGAATATCTTCGATAAATGTGATTGACCTAGATATATTTACGGACATGTTAATGAGTGTTTATACAATTTTTTTAACGAAAAAGAATCAATATCGTGTGATAGTTTCTCGCAATATATATTAGTATACCTTGTACATGATATTACTGTAAATATAAATTGTAACAATTAATAAATCATAAAATGCGATTTTCGAGATATTCATTATTGTCGATGTGAAGTACACTGTCTACCTGTGTTGTATTAGAACCTATTTTACAACTCAAATGATTTGATTAGATTGTAAACAAAGAGACTCGTTAAACTCTAATCAAATCAAAACTCGTTCGCATTTATCATCTAATCGTTGATAAATGCGAATGAAAAATGAATTTATTTGTATCTCTGCTGCACAGTCTCTCATCTCTATTCAGGACTGTTGATAGCATGTGTGCAGCTCGGATTAGACCTGGGGCCGTATTCTGGTCACCGTCTCTGGTCTCTTGTCTCTCACAAGTCTGGTCGCTGGCTAATCATTTGGATTAACCAATCAGCGACCAGATTGTGAGAGACGAGAGACCAGAGACGGTGACCAGAATATGGCCCCTGGCTTCTTTTATTTTGTAGCAGGGCTCCTTTTTTTGATATAATGAAATACGTAGAATGTTTTCTTAATAAATAGTTGTTTTATATTGTTTTTATTTTCTGTTAATTAAATAACATTTGTTTATGATGATGCGAAGTGATATGCATCCCTAAGTTTTCTCCACACTTGGGTAAAATCCTCAGCTCACCATTACTTGGTGGCTCTGTCTCTATTGCATTCTCACTGGTTCAACGATCTTATTACAAATATAATTAATTATTGGTAGTCTGGTCTGACAGTAAAGACTGATGAAGAAGTTGACTCTGCTTTTTGATTTAGCATCTTTCAATGAGATAATCAAATGCTTAAGAATATATGTGGAGAAAGCCAAATTTATGTAAATATAAAATGATCTTGGGTGAAATGTCAAGAAATTGAAATTTCTGTAAATCTCTGAATGATAAGAAGGTCGAAATTTTTCTTGAATTTTATATTTATAAATGTTATATTTGTTACCAAATCTGAAAATTTATAGAATGTTTATCTTTTATATTGAAGAAATTAATTTTTTTTCAAATTGCATACTATTTAAATATCAATGTTTGTGCTGTTTCACTCCAAAATTATAAACAATTTGTAATTTACTTTACTGAAATGTTTGCAACAATGTAAAAATCAGTTGTTTCTATCATTTCTAAGAAATTACAAAGTGTAATTTTGGAATCAATGCAATTTGACAGTCTTGCACAAAGAAAATTAAATTTAACACGTTTTGGTTAGATTGCAATGGTTTCCAACTTGATTTAATCGTGGAACCCTTTTGATCTTGATAAAATATTTACAAAGAATCTATTACATAATTTGATTTTTTGATTGGTAAATACAATGGATTTTAATTTCCACAAATGCAAGTTATGCAGTCTGTGATGGTTCTCACTTCTTGACAGGATGTCTGTTCTATGAGTATTAATGAATATTAATAATTTTTGTAATTTTATTTAAATGAACTTTTGCATACATATTTTAAACTAATGACAACTCAAATACTAATTCTATTGCAAAACTTCAAACCTTATCAGTGGAACTCTGGAGTTCCATTGAGTAAATTAGGAGCCAGTGTTTGATTAATATAATTTACTGAAATTGTGATTTAAAATTTGTTATTAATTTAAAAGATGATTAAAAATTTTAACTTTTCAAATATTTTTAAACTAACTTGATAAAATCAAATTGCAGGAGTTAAGATTATATAAAAAGTAATGATTTTGTAAATGAATTTTGAAAATAAGAACAAAGTATAAAAATTGATTTTGTTAAAGTTATGTTTTGAAAAAAATCCTAATCATATACACACAAAATAAATATATACAGTATTTATTATAAATTTTAAATTTAACTGGAGAATGACAGTATTCAAATAATACAAGTGAAAGAAATTCATGTAATTAATTAAAGTTTAAATGGCTAATGGATTCAGTTTGATTTCTATATGTGACTTCTTATTTTCAAATTAAAACAATAAAAAATTGTTTTAATTTTATAAACCAGAAAGTCTATAAATATGTATAAAAATTTTATCATTTTTTATTTATTTTATATAAATTTTGAATTTTTCAGATAATTCTCTTGCAAACTCTTCATGATAGATTGAAAGGAAATAGTTTACAGGAATATAATATATTTATTGAAGAAAAGAAATTGTATTATGACTTGATGATATTTTTAACTGATTCTGGACTTGTGAAGAAAAGTTTTGAGAATGAATTGGGTAGAGGTATGTAATATACTATTATTTTATATCATGAATGTTTTGAAAATGTTACTTGAAACATTGTAAAAACTTAATTTTATAATATATTCAATAAAAATAAATTATTAAATTTATTGAATGAACTGATGTGTTCGATCACTTTCAGTGACCATCATCAAATTACGGCTTAATTAAACACTTAAATTTAAAATAAATTATTTATAGCAAAAACAAAAAAGCTGGCAGTGTTGCTAGACTTTCCTGGCATTCTTTATTTGTTTTCATCCCTAATAATTGTTACCATTACTTTTTAAGTTTTTAGATTAATTGATTCAGAAGATATTAAAAGAGTGGAAGCCATATTTTCTGAACCAATGATCCAATTATCCTGAGAATTTCTAGAAACATTTTTCCCAACACACAAACCTCCCTGCATAATTTTAGAAAGTTTTGACTAAAGACACAGTGATTATTAAGGTTCAGAGTGAATGAAAAATTTTGCCCATCGCACGCATACACACGCACACGCACGCACACACACACCCACACTAAATACAGTAGAACCTCGATTACCCGGACTAATTGAGGATGAAGGTAGTCTGGATAAGGAAAAATCCGGATAATCGAAACAGATACTTTGTCTTTTAATGATAATACAACACGTTTTCTTCTCGATGACATATCGGTAATATTAAAAGTAAATACTGTATTTAAATTGTGATAAAATTTTCAAGAAACAAACGTTCGTATTGAATTTGGACTACTACTGACCAACGCTAACAGACTACCTATTGTTTAAAAGGCCCTCTGGTGGCGCAAGAAGACGGATTTTATAAAATAAAAAGCAGTTGAAACTGCATTTTTATGAATAAAAATTTGACAAACTATTTATCGTTTTATGACGAGTAAAATTTTTTCGTCGCGTTCGCGGCTTTTAAGTAATGCATAAACCTTCGAGGCGCGAGGCCCTTCGGACCGCGAGGCATAGGCGGTGGCCCACGTCGTCCATGCCTTACGCCGCCCTTGGTCATAGAAATGATGTAATTTGAATATAAATTATTTATAAATACGTATGTCAAGTTATATTTTTATTACTACGTAAAGTATATTTAAGAGTTTACGACCACTGTGATGGGTGAGACGTTGTTGAAAAAAAAAAGTTATGCATTCCATCACGTACATAAAGAGTGTCGTAATTCGCCAAGTGCAAATCAGCAAATTCGTAAAATTTTTGTTTATTTTGAACAATCCGGATAATCGAAAATCCGGATAATGGCGGTCCAGATAATGGAGGTTCTACTGTAACATCAAATGTGTTCATTTCTCAATGTTTCAAGGTCTTTGAGTTCAGAAATTAAAATTCTGGGGTCATTTTTTTACTGATTGTCATACTTTTGCTGTGTTATATAACAACTGGGGAAGAAAAAATTAAATAGAAATAAATGAATAATAAATTCTATTTTCTATTAACCTTTCTGCTTTTATTAGTGTAGTTCATTTTCTAAGTTTGACATGTTTCATCAAAACCATTTTAATACAATAAAATCCATACTTATGTTATTAGGATGAGATATAAAATTATTTTAAAAAATTTACAAGACTATTTTGCTTCTTTAGATTATTATTTCATTTCTTTTTAACTGTAACATTGCTTCAAATTTGTTTTTGAAGTAACATTCTAAGCTTTGAAAGCATACATAAACAATTTACATTTAACTCTATAATGTAAATTTGAGGATTTTATTACATTAGTTTAATTGCATATGTATGTTTTATTTATTCTTACAATTTGTTATAAAAATATTTTTGTATTAATTAATAGTAATTAATTGTGTTTTTTGACAGATTATACAGAAACTGATTTTATTGGTCTTCCTGAAATCGCTGAATATTCTTTGTCTTGTATTCACATTTTATTACCCTTTCTTCAGTATTTTGAATCTGAATATGAAATTTATAAGTCAATTATTAAATCAATTTTAATTTTATGTGCAACTCATTGTGATCATTATCCTTGGTCTTCTAAAATCTGTGTTAATAAAACTAAAGGTAAGTTTAGTACTTTTAATTTAAAAATTGATTCTAGAATAAAATTATTAAAAATACAAGAATCATGAAGTAGAACAGTGAATATTTAATGATAAATATAAATGTAAAAAATTAACAAAAAAATTATTTTTATATCTATCATTTATACAAATATTCCAAAGTAGTGTTTTATTATTATATGCTTTTATGTTTAGATTTTATTTATTGAATATAAAATATTTATCTGTTTTGAATTATTTTGTACTTTAATTAGTTTTTATACTTACATTTAAGATTTATTTGTGAAAAAATGATAAATGATAATGTACCAAAAAAAACAACAAAATATAAATTTTTTTAATATAATAAATATTAATTTGTTAATGTAGTAAGTATACACATATATGTTACATTTATTTTTCAGATATTTTATCTTCTCTTTTAAATGTAACACGTTTTAAAACTATAGAATTGCTATTACAAGGAAGAAAATCAAGTGAAAATCTTATTAATTCAATACTTCTAGCAATCAAGCCACATTTGATGAAAAATAATTGGTATAAAAATCCTAGTAATCGATTTATATTCAAATGGTTTCTTCTTCATATAAAGGTAATTAAGATTGATTAAGGCTATGTTTTGCTATAGAGAATAAAACTTTTATTAATTCAAAATACATTTTAAATTTTACAACTTTGATATAAAAAATGATGATATAAGATAGAAGTCAGCAACACGGTGCCCGAGGATGCCAAGGCATGGCACCCTTGGTGAGATTTTTATGTGCCCTCACTATATTACACGCATACTGAGCCCAATAATCATATTGCCCATTTCTAAGACAATATAATCATGCAAGTGCAGCATCAGAAAATAGCAATCAAGATCATATACAAATGCACTTGTGTACTTAGCATGTAGGAAGATTCTTGCTACTGGTACATTTGGTAGTATGTTATCGTTCTGCAGACAAACTTCACGTATTTTGAGTATTAGTGACCGTATTACACAAGATAGTCGTGCTTCTTACTACCAAATACTTATCGTACTGGTTAAACAAATTTTATATATAACACATTATGAATAATTGTAAAAGAAAAATAATTTTTTGTTTTAATGATGACTGGGAAGAACAGTTTTGTCTTCTTGAATTCAAAGGCAAATGTATCTGCTTCCTGTGCAATAATAGTGTGGCAATTCCCAAGAAAAGTAACATCAAAAAACATTTCAAAACTGTTCATTCAAATTTTGATGCTTACTATTCTGTGTGCTCTGAAATAAAAAAAAAGATATCTTCTTTAAAATCAGCTATTACCAAACAACAAAGCATTTTGCTAAATCTTTGGAACAGTATAAAGCTGCAACAATTGCATCATTTAAAATCTCACATTTATTAGCTAAGAAGAAAAAACTATATACAGATGGGCTGTGCCATAACTAGCCATTCCTATGCCCTGTGCAAGAATTTGCATTTTGGCCCCTTAATTAGTTAGGTTTGGGAAAATTATAAAACAAATACATGCATTTTGGGGCCCCCTTTCAAGTGGGCCCTGTGCGGGTGCACCTGTTGCCTCCTTAGTTACAGCACTGGGGATTTAATAAAACAAGCCATGTTAGAAGCTTCTGACTTGTTATTTGAAGGATTTAAAAATAAATCAGAAATAGTTTCGGCTATAAATACTTTACAATTGTCTGCCAGAACAGTAACCAGAAGAATTGAAGCAATTTCAGATGACTTAGAAACACAGTTATGAAATGATATGAAAAAATGCATTTTCTTTTTGCTACAGTTGGATGAATCAGCAGACATAGTAGACATAACTCAGTTAATGGTTTGCGTAAAAATGGTGTTTGATGATTTTTCTACAAAAGAAAAATTCCTTAAAATCTTCCACTAAAGGGGCATACTCGAGGCGAAGATATATTTTTCCACATTTAAAAATTTTGCAATGACTAATAAATTACCACTTCAGAAGTTAACTTCCATTACTACAGATGGTGCACATTTGATGACTGGTAAGAACATTGGATTTATGGCTTTATGCAGACAAGATTCTTCATTTCCATTGTCTTATACATCAGGAAGCATTATGCATGAAAACTATTGGTTTTAATGATTTAATGTCACTTATAATAAAAATTATTAATTCTATAAGATCATGAGAAATGCAACACAGATTATTTAAATTACTTTTGGAAGAGGAAAATAAGAAGTGTAATGACCTTCTTTTACATACTGATGTGAGATGGCTCAGCAGGGATAAAATACTTGAAAGATTTATCAACTTTTTGCCACAAATAAAAGAATTTCTTTCATGAAGAGATGAATATTATGAGCAATTAGAAAACAGTGATTGGTTGATAAATTTGGGATTTTTAACTGATGTTTCGGCCAAGTTAAATGAATTAAACATAAAATATAAATTTTCGTCTACAAGTATGTATCTTCTAATATCAGGACTTATTATACTGGCTTTACAGATAATGCTACAATTGATATTAGAAGATATGTACTTGTAGACGAAAATTTATATTTTAGTAAGAAAAGGACATTGAGGCATTTTAATTAAAGAATTAAACATAACTTTGCAAGGAAAAAAATCAGCATATTGCTGATATGATTAGTGCAGTAAATGTGTTTAAAACGAAATTACATTTAATAAAAAATTTGTTAATGCATTTTTCAAATATGAAATGTATTATTGAAAGTTTGGTTAAAAAACATTTAATGCTACATCATATATAAAAATTATGAGAATCTTCATAAGAATTTTCTTCCCAAAATTAGAATCTGTTGTAATATCTTTTGTTAATCCATTTTTTAACATGTCTTTCTGATAATTCATCTGCTGCAATTGGCAAATATTTTGAGCTTAGTAATACGGATGAAATAGAATTAGAAATAATAAATCTGCAAAATGATATTGTTTTAAAAGCACATTGTAATGATAAAATTAGCATGTTTTGGAATTTAGTTCATAGAGATAAATATTCTATTTTAAGAAGATGTGCACTAATAATTTGTTCATATTTTGCAACTACGTATAATTGCAAATGTATCTTTTCAAATATAATGTATCTAAAAACAAAATATTGATCAAAACTCGCAGATTCTAATTTAGATAACTGTTTATGAACATGTAATTCTAATTACACTCCCAATTATAACAAATTGGCAGAAGATTTGAAATGTCAGGTGTCACACTGATTTGGATATTTGTATTTGTCATTGTTTGTTTTGCATTTATAATTTAAGTAAATTTAATTATATTTCTTGAAATAAAACTTTTAATACAATAGAGCATCGATTATCCAACTCAATTGGGGACTGGGATTGGTCAGATAACTGGAAAAATGGATAACCGAAAAGTATGAAAAAATACATTATTAGTATAGTATATTATTATATTAGTTTATCCCATGTAATTAGTATATCGCTATTAACCTACTTCGCGTTGAATGTTCATCGATGTTAAGCCTAACAAATTTTTTAAAAAATAATAATCGTCGCTATTGTATATCATCATCATCATCATCATCAAATAATCTTTATTACTTACCCTGATACCGCTTGGCATAATCAGGTAAGAAAATACAGAAATAATTACATTGATGTTACATGCAGATAACAATTGCAAAATAATCTGAAAACAAATGTTGGGAAAGAAGTAAAGAAAAAAGAAAATAATGAATAAAAAATAAAAAAAAACAAACAAGCAAAAAAATGAAAATAATAAAGTAAGTAGATGCCATTAACAGTAAGTGAGCTAAAGTAGATAAATATGCATGTATACATTGACACAGCTGCATTACCTTACACATTTAAGTGTTATCACAGTTCATGCTAGGGTAAAAAATGAAGATGTATATAAACATGCCGCATAATAGATGTTAAAACACCACAGGTTAACATATACCATTACAGGTGAAGGAACACAATAACTTCATTGAATACGTTGGATAGTCTTTAGCCTTTGCAGAATATCTTGAGCCACAGATAAACCATGATGCATATCAAGATGCCACTTGTAATTTAACGAATATCACTTCTAATCAGATAAAGCTTGATAAGCTCTTTGAAAAGACCAAAATTTACTTTATTATGAACAAGGAAGTCTGGGTTTACAGGCCAGTCCATATTGTTTATATTTACTTGCTGCCTCTAGCGATGCCTAATATCCTCAAGCATGGGGCAGTTGAAAAGATAGTGTAAAACACCATCTTGAATACCACACAGATTACAGTGATCATTATCTATGAGATGGAATCTCTTAAGATATACACGAAAGCGTCCGTGTTCAGTTAAGAATTGCGTCAGTTCATGACTGGGCTGCATCCATTTGTTCTGCATACGGTTTTGGATTCTTGGAAAAAATCTCTTTGTAATGTGCTGACATGAGACCTTATCCCAATCAGCCTGCCACGCATTGATGGCTTCGTTCCAAACAAGTGACTTGAGTTTCGATTTGGGAATGCAGACATAATCATGATGATTGGTATGATTCAGTGTTGCATTACATGCCAGATAATCTGCTCTTTCATTTCCCGGAGTGCCCTGGTTACCCCTGATCCAATTAACGGCATAACTGTTAGATGATATTGCAACCTCAACGAAAATATCGATAGAGATGGGGTTTGTGGTGTCCTTGTTTCTTAGTTTGGTCACAGTGGCAACACTGTCAGTGTAGATATTTATGGGCATATTGACAAGATTGATGTTACACCATTTGATAGCCATTAATACCGCAAAGATTTCAGCTTGAAAAATAGAGCACTCAGGGTGCAGCTCAAACGTCTGATTATGAATCTCACCGCCTGCATCAATAATCACGAAGGCACTAGCTGTGCCTTCAGTAGTTTTAGAGCCATCCATGAAACCTTCAATCCTCGTGGGTACTTCATGTGAAAGAAGTCCTGTTCTCAAGGCAGGATGCGGAAGGGTGGCCACGCGCCTTTCAATCTCATACATTGAGGCATCAAAAATAGTGTCATTTATGCAGACATTTCTGCCCCTGGAGATCAGAAAACGCTTGCTGCTGAAAAGAAGATAGTGTAATATGGGAAGTTTTCCAGCCACTACTGGGAGAGCTGCGTTAGAGACAGTGGAGTAACTCCGGGTCAGACAGATAAGGGCCTTTCGCTGCGCCGTGCAGAGAAGTCGGTAATTGTGCGAATGTTTGGCAGCCTTGCACCATACAACAGACGCATAAGAAACGATTGGCAGAAATAAGCAATCGTAAATTGCACTCATGGCTTCAAAGCTGAGGCCCCAGCTGCTTCTGGCAACCTTTAACAGACCATTAAATATCATATTGCTGCGACTTGTAACATGCTTTATGTGGTATTTCCATGACAGTTTGTAATCAATAACCACACCCAGGAAGGTGAGATGTTTGACGATTTTAATGGATTTATTGCGATAACGCACACATGGAACACGTTTGTACAAGTCAGTTGTACGTGGGAGTGAGAAGACGATGCCTTTGGTTTTATCCATATTGAAAGAAAGTTTGTTGCTATCACCCCAGCTGTGTATCTTCGATAAAATATCTGTTGCGGTACTCTCGATGTGTTTCCTGGATGATGCTGGAAAAACCAAAAAGGTGTCATCT